ATTTCTTCTGGAAGTTTTCCATCAATAAATGAAGAGGCTGGAACCACATCCTAAACTCGGGAAAATCTGCATGAAAAGAAAGTAACACAGCAGGAGATTTGCCTACATGCTGCCCTTACCTACGTGCTTAGGCAAGAGCCTTTCTCCCAGTGTGCCCTGCCCCAGGAGATGAGAGAGGCTTCAGGTCTTGGCTTCCCTCTCCCCTGTCTTCAGGGAATACCCCTTCTATAAACCCAAGCTCCTGATTCCACCTTCAGTTTTGTGCCCTGCTGTGAGGTCAACATAGACGGGACATACAGTGTGACACTGCAAGGACGTTTCGGTAAAGTTGTCTTTAGGTGTTTCGGGGCGGGGGGGTTGGAGGGTTGGGGCGTTCTCAAGCTCTCTGCCTCTGTGCCTGCCATTAGACCTTCAATTTAACTCCTCATCATCCTGTATCAAGTAACACAATAACAACGAGGGAAGCAGAACAGACAGCCAAGTTCCTCCATACGAGGAGTGTTTAGAGAGCTGGAATGGTCTTATTCCTTGAAATCAGAAAAGTATACCTACATAAATGTGCGTGTGTGCGCACGCGTGCATGCACGTGCACGTGTATTGATATAAATGCATTTAATATAAAAGCTGGCTTAAATGCTAGTTTCAGCATTTTGACATCAAACAATGCCAAAGTAAAGGTCACTCACCTAGGCTGACTGGAAGAACCGGCGTAAGAGCTCATACAGGCTTGTATTAATTAATTTAATTGTCCTTGTGGTGTCACATTGCAGGGTCAAAGCCGTACTTGATGCTGAGTTTTTGCTGCACCTACACCCTCGACTACTATGAGATTTATTCACACTTGCTTACTAGCCTAGACCTAATGTTTAAACTTTGTGATTAAAGCTTGCTTAATGTCTATATTTTTTACTCTGCAATTGTTGCAATATTTGACAGGCTTTTCTCTTGCAGAAAGCTGTAAAGTTCTGAAGTGTAAAATCTTACTGTAAAAGCTCCAAAAATTTTGCATAGA